TTGCCGGGCGCCGGGTGCCCGGTCCGGGGCCGCGCAGCCACAGATCGGCGGCCACTCCGCGTGCCTGGAGCTTACCCCGGTGCCAAAGCATCCCCTGGCAGCCGGCAAGATCGAAATCAGGCTGCGTCTAGGGCAGGGCAGGGACTTGGGAAGGAGAGATGGGGTCCTACCTGGAAGCTGCGGCGCGGGGGCCGCGGACGGCGGCCTGGCAAAGCGAGAAACTGCTCCTTAGTCCCGGCAGGGCTATCCCTGGAAACGCGCCGCTGTGTCCTGTGTTGCTTTCCGCCGTGACACCACCTTTAAAGGTCACAGCGACGCTGCCTGTGTCCCTATTTTGACAAGGAGGACAGGCGTTTGGGGTGCAGTGTAGGCAGAACCAGCCCCTGCCGGTGGTGGTCCAACCGGGGCCCAGCTACGTGTGGCCCGGCTCAGCTGCCTCGCCAGGAGGTTTGGTGGAATTCCTCCCTTCAGCAGGCCTGGTCTCGCCCAGGTGTTCAGCGGAGAACGTAGCGCCCACAGCCCGGGGCTATTTGGGGGTCACGTGACGCGCACCTGCTTCGGTGAAACAGGGCGGTGAGCGCTGCCTCGGGAGGCGCCTGTGAAGGCCATTATCTGAGCCTTGGGTTAATTAGTCTGCAACACCCACCAAGCAGTAGCTTCCAAGATAGAGCCTGGTCTGACACAGCTATGGGGACAATTTGGGGGCTCTGGTGGGCGGCCAGGGGCATCCTGGGCAGTAGGACATGGACCACCTCTTATACCTCTGCGTCCTGGGACCTGGGGATCCACAGGTGAGCCTGAGGGCTCTTGTCCCTTCATGGAAACATAACTGGTTTGTAGTCAGCCCTGATGGCACACAGGTAGCCCACGCTCTGCCAGCTGAGGCTCTGGGGAGTCCCTGGGCTCATGTCCCCAGCGCTGCCTGTGCCCTTGCAGTAAACACAGGTGCGCAGCTGGGACGATGGCAGCAGGAAAACCCTGTTGGGGATGCCCTTCTCTCTCATCCTGTCTCTCTCTCATGGAAGAAATAATACACTTGGAAGGAAGGAAGAGAAAGAGAGAGGGAAAGAAAAAGTTGACCAGTTTTCTTACAAAGGACCTTTCAGATCGCAGCTGCCCTCACCGCCTCCCCACTGTTTCAACTCAGCCTCTGTGGACTTCTTCTTGACCAGATGCCCCTCCTGGACTGCCAGCTCCTGAAGGGTTACAGGGAGCAGCGCCTGGCCCGCTTGGTGCTGAGCTTCATTGCCATGGGGTACGTGTGGCAGGAAGGAGAGACACAGCCTAGAGAGGTAAGGGGCAGACCTGCAGGCCCCGCCATGGCCAAGGGCCCGTGCTGCCCACTGCATGTCTTCCTGGAGAATGGCTGCTTCCTTGCTCTCTCTATGGGCCATGGGGGTCCATAAATGAAGCCCCCCCCTTTACTTGGGAGCTAATTTTCTTTTTAACTGGTACTCCTCTCTCCCTTTCATTGCTTTTAATCACTTTCTCTGACACCTTCTTCCGAGAATGCTAAAGAGCTGCCTTGGAAAGCAGGTCTGGAAAACTCCCTGGAGGGTGCAGCGCATGCTACTCCCTTCTGTGCATGGCGGTGCTCTGGAGCTTTTCCACCCCTACACGTGCCTGCATAGACACCGAGAAGCGTGTGCCACTCCGTGTCCGAGGTCAGACAGCCCATTGGTGGGAGCAAGGCCAGTGTCCCATCTGCTGTCACAACTGGAGCCTTCTTTTCCCCAGGGAACACTGTCTTTTTATTTATTTATTTATTTATTTTTTCAGTATTCTTTCTATGTGGCCACCTGGCCGATCACTAGTCGGTCTCACTAATTCATCTAGACTTCTGCCTCTCTGCCTAAGTCCTTGAGAATTGCAACCTGAGCCTTGAGACCTGAGGACCCCCAGGGCCACTCTCACCACGTAGATTACTATTCTTTCTCGTGTCTTGTGTGTGTCTTGCTCAGAAATCAGGGAGCTGGCCTTGTTCTTGAACGCCGTGGTTAGTGAGCAGCGGTGCCATGTCTTGGCCTGGTCGACCCTGCCCTTGGCTCTCAGGCAAACACGCGAGGCTGAGGAAAGGAAAGCAGAGCGCCACTTCGGCCTCCACGTGTGTCCTTCTAGCTCGTTTTTAAACCGTCTGAGGTTGAGGAGTTTGAAATCTAGGCACAAGACAGACCATCCTCATTTCCTCACGCCCCATCCCCGGCCCGTCAGCCCCACAAAACATTAACCTAAATTGAGGGCAGGGTGGAGAGGGGAATGGGGAGGAATTCCCCAGCCCTAAGCTGTGTCCTGTAGTTCCAGGCAGCATGGGGCTCCTCCCAGGATTACTGGAATGAGAGACAACCTCCACTGTTTCCCAGACTCCTTCCTGAATGTGCTAATTGCTTGACTTCTGACAGGTTCTGCCAAGGAATCTTGCCATGCCCTTCGTGGAGGTCTCCAGGATGTTGGGGCTCCCTCCCATCCTGGTCCACTCAGACATGGTGCTGACGAACTGGACTAAGAAGAACCCACAAGGGTAAGGAAGGCAGAAACTTCGGGCTTTCCCCAGCCTGCGGCTATGACTTCAGTTGTCCACACTGGAAAGGCCCGGGCTTTTTCACCTATTGTTAGTGGTGGGTTTTTTGTTTTAGCTGATTTACTTTCTTATTTTATTAGACAGTGAGAGAGAGAGAGAGACAGACAGGCATCCCCAAGAGGGTCTTCGCACTGCAGTCAGCCCCCAGCTTCAGTCAGCCCTGGATCCCAGACACATGCCCACACATCTGGCATACCTGGGGCCATGAACCTGGGACCTCGCCATGTGGGTCCAGCTGTGTTACTGCCGTTCTAACCTCTGAATTTGATCAATAAAGCCATCTGCTCCACCAGCAGACTGGGAATAGACACATTTGTCAGTAGAAGAAATAGCATGCGTTTTTAACAAGAAATCCAAAAAATGAGATGGGAGAGATTTCATGTTAAACCCCCCTTTGAACCTCATTTCCACAGCCAAACGCATTTCCAACTGTAGATGGGAGAGAGTACTTGCTTCTCTGACTGATCAAAACACTGCAAGAGACACTGAGGGTGGGTGTGAGGAAGAATTTCTTTTTTCTTTTTTTTTTTCTTTAAGAGAGATTTTATTTTATTATTATTATTATTTTTTTTTTGAGAGGGTTTTGCTATAGGGCGCATGCACTCACTGGAAAGACAGAGAGACGGAGAAATGGAAACTGAGAACTCACCCCCCCAGGGTGATGGCCATGCTGCAATCCCTTCTCCTCCATTCTCCTCTTGGGGTTTTGGACATGCACACACACGTGCCCAGCATGAGTCTCAAGCTGCCAGGCCTGGAGTTCAAACTGTAGCTGGCCATGTGGGAGTTCAGCGATATAACCATTATGCCATCTGTGGGTCCCTGAGGAAGAATTTCCGTAGCAGAGGAGTTGTGGGTAACTACAGGATTGCCCAAGGAGATGATGGAAATCTACTTTAAAGGAGTGAGCTCAGTTTTAGCTCCTAGGACTAATTCACGTATTCCTTGCATGAAATAAGACTGAGCCATTTTCTGTCTCTCTGAGGACCTGCAAGCCCTGGTATTTTATGTTTTCTGCAAGCATTAATTATGGCCTTTGATCGATTCTGCTTTATTAATGAAATCAATGGCCATTAGAGATGCTGAATCTGGCCCAGAATTTGGATGGGAAGAAGTAGTAAATATATTATCAGATTATCCAGCTGAGGCATTGAGCGAGCTAAATTTATGACTGAAAGAGAAGGACCTAAAGGAAAGTTGAAGAGAAGGAATGGCCGGGCTGGGATCACAAAGCCAAAGCTACAGCAGAAAGCTGGTCTCCTGGTCAGTGACAGGGCAGGGCTGGTTTAACTCCAGAGGTGCAGACAACGGTCTTGGCTCTCTCCGGTTATTCTGAGTAATTATCTTTGGAGTCTTAATACTCCTAGGACAGAGCCAAGTGCCATGAAGAAATGAAGGGAACGCGAGCAAAGTGTCCCCAAAGCAGCAGAACAGAGAGACAAGGTGGCACATGACAGACACCGAAGAGCCACCCACGCAATGGGCACGTGGGCATTTCAGAGATGTGACGTCCATGCAGGATTTGAAGAGCGTGGCGAGGGGCAGGGCTCCATCAACAGCGAGCCGCACAGGTGACTAGGGGTAGAATAGCTGCAACGAAAATACGGGCTCATGGTATTACAGAGAGGAGTGAAAGGACTTGTCAGGACGGACACAGGCCAGACTTTCTGGGCTGACGTGTGAGGTCTGGCTACTCTGTCACACAGTGGCCTGTAGCCTAGTCACAACCCGAGAGCTCTAAAGCGTGTGTGGGTGTGTGCACACCTGCACCTGCATTGCCCACGAGTGCATGCGTAACCTGGAAGGTGTATCTGATTACAAGCTGAATTATTCTTTTATTTCCTTTTTCTGCTTTTGGTGGCCAATAATGCAATTCGACTAGACCCCTGGAAATCGGGTAAGTTTTAGAAAGCCCGTCCTCACTTTGGGATCTGTGCTAACCATAAAAGCTTATGATACAACAAACATGTAAGCACACACAGTTATATCTCTAGAGAGTATCAACTATATAGCAATGTATGTAAAAGGGACCAGCAGGTGGTGTGGTGGCTGAAGCGCTGGACTCTCACATAGCAGACCGCGGTTTGAGTCCCGGACCCAGTGGCTTACTTTCTCAATTTCCTTCTCTCTCTCTGGTGAGTACACATGCTCTATAGCAAAATTTAAAATAAATAAATAAATAAATAAATAAAATTAAATAAATAATTTTTTAAAAAGAAAAAGAAATGCATTAAAAAAAAGACCAGAAAGAAATGAGCCACGAATTCACCATCTGAAAGGCACCAGTGGTTGCCTCTGCCTTCTATGGGTTGGATTGGGGAATTTTCTCTACACATATTTTCCTATTTGTGCATAAGTGAATGAGTAAAGTGCAGCACACGCACACACACACACACACACACACACACACACACAGCCACTAAGTTTCTGTGACCCTTTGAAGTTTAGTGACCTGAAAACATTTCTCCTCTCATTGTGACGTCTACAGAAGGCCAGACTGGACAGGCGTTGCGCTGCAGACAAGTCCCTGTGGAACTGGTGCTTGTGGACAGGTCTGGTCCAGGCACCACTGGGCTTCACGCTCCCTGCAGAGCAAAGACAGGTTTTAGGCCAGAGTTGCCTGCTCCAGCACGAAGCCTGAGGTCCCAGCTGGGTTCACAGCCAGCTCCTGCTCAGGAGAGGGGCGGGTGGGGGTCCACACCACTTCCTGAGCTCATGCTCCTCTGCTGGGACAGTGGTGCTCCTGCCCTCCTTTGATTTGTTTTGTTTTCAGCCTTTCTCGTGTTTAGAATCATGGTGGCAAAGTGATCTCTAGAGTTAAGTTTTTAGATTTTGCAGACTGGGACCTACTTTGGGGATATTCCAGTCCATTACGCCACCTGCTGGTCCCATTTAAATGACCATGGGTTGTTTAAAACGCTCCCTGGTTCCTTTTGTATTTACAGCATTCAGTTCAAACAAACAAACAAATGGAAACCTCTTTGGACAAGCTGTTTTGCTTTCCTGAGCCCTAGTTTGTTGCCTATAAAAGGGAACGTGGAATGAGCTGCTGCCTGAAGTCACCCTCCCCGCAGACCCTGTGGCTTCTGACAGGAATGAAGTGGTGGACCATAGAACTGGCCTGGTGAAGAAACAGCTGTGCCTTTTGCCAAGAACTGCCCACCCGTGTTCTGTCTGACTTTTCCACCGAGGGTGGTCTAGGGTCATCAGGACTGGTCCAGACTTTGAGGGTGAACCTGACCTTGAACTGGTCTGCTCTTGCCCCGTGCTGAGTGTTGCTGAAGGCCGCTGTCTTCCAGGAGAAGAACGTTGTTCCCCGACCCCCTTGCAGTTCTCTAACTCAGCGGGGACCAGTGGGCACCGAGCACTCCCAGTAATCCTCCGTGTCCCTAACTGTGCCTGTCTCCTTCTCGAGGAACCTGGAGACCATCATCGCCTTTCCTGGCGGGGAGAGCCTGCGTGGTTTTATACTAGTGACGGCTTTGGTGGAGAAGGCCGCAGTGCCTGGCATTAAGGTAGCTTCTCTCTTCACAGCGGTTTTCTCTCTTAACTTAGGAATCAGTCTGAGCTTGAATGCCCACCTGGGCCCTTTCCCTGCATGGGTTTCTCAGTGCGACGAACAGTCTGCAGCTTAGTCTGCGTCTGGGGAAGAGACCGGAGCTCTGACCAACGATCAGCTCCTCTCTCATCTCCTGGAAAGTTTGGGATGGACTAGACACCTGTTCAAGACACAGCCACTGTTCTTGGGAAGTCAGACCAGCGAAGCTGATGGGGTCCCGATCCCAGCAGACACTCACGATCCGAGGGAGGAAGGCGATCAATGTGGGGAAATACGGGGAAATGCAGAGTTTTATGAAGACTGCTGACACTTAATCCAGACGCCAAGGGTCAGCAACGCTCCCCCAGGCCAAGTTTAACCTGAGTGTTGAGTATACAAAGGAGAGGAAGGGAACCGGCAAGCTGGCAGAAGAAACTGCTAGCAAAGGCTGAGAGGGAAATGCAATGAGAAGCATTCAGAGCTGGAAGGCAGGCATCAGTTGGAGGATCTAGCCCCAGGGGCTGCAAACATGAATTCCTTCAGTGGTCAGAGGCCAGAGATCCAGGTACAAGGGGAAAGGCAGTGGAGTGGCCTGGGACCTGCCTTGTCTAAAGTTACTTGGGTTCAGTGTGTCCCTTTCCTCACCACCGTCCTGGTGAGTGTCTGCTGAGTACCTCGGCCCCCCGAGGGCACGCCAGTCCTGGCCTGATCATGACAGACCGTCTTCCACTCTCAAAAGCTGAGCCATATGGTGGCTCTCTCACCCCTGCGTCTCATCCATTGGGAGACACAGCATAAATTACCGGCTTCCAACTGCTGGATGAGGTAGTGAGGGCCCAAGGCCGTGGCAGAGGGCGCTATGGAGCTAGGGTTTCTCCAGAACCTGTGTCATTTTATGTGACGCGGAGCTGTGGAGTGAGGACGCCTTGGCCTTGGCTGGAGATGCAGACGTAGAGTGGTCACAGTGTATGATCAGTTCTGAAGCCAAAGGAGCCAAACGAGCTCAGGCTCTTGAGAGGTGCAAGAAATGGCAGCCAATGGAAAGATCCAGAAAAACCTAACCAGGGGTCTGTCTGGGAGGTGTCCAGAGAGACCTCAGCCTCCAGCAGAGGCCAGAGCAAACCCAGGTGAGGCCGCTCTCTCCAGGGGGTGGCAAACAGTCTCTCAGGCAGAGGGTTCCCTGCCTTACTGAGAAGTGTCCCTCCCCCGCAGGCCGTGGTGCAGGCGGTGAACGCCATCTTGCAGCCCAGCCAGGACGCGCTGCTCCAAGCCCTGCAGGACCTGAGCCTCTCCATTCAGGACATGACCAGAGCCTTAGGACAGATGCACGGTAGGCAGTCGGCTGCTGACTCTCCAGAGGGTCCCCGCGGTGGAGGCGAGAGAACCCGGAGCTTGGGCACATTCTGAATAGGGATGCTGCATTCTCCCACGAGGTGGCGCTGGTGCATTATCTTTGCTTTAAGCAAAACTCTTGCAGTTCATGCCGTCAGAGGGTGAGTTCTCAGCGGGCCGAGGTATTCATGGTGGTGTCCTTTGTATTCTCTCGTGCTGAGAGATGCTTCCTCTCTTTGGTTTCCAGATATTTCTTGCCCATGTCGAGATCTGGCCTGAAACTTGGGAGAGGGGATGGGGCACCCAGGAGTCTCAGTCGTGTTAGGCTAGAGCAGGGCAGAATCGCCGTGGAGTTCCTGTTCACAGTGGCCAATGCCTTTTTTTTCCCTAGTTGGTCATTCTGATTTCTAACCCGACATGTCATATTTTAATTTTTATTTATAGGTTTTGGTTACAAGTCTGTGGGTTTCAGAGTATTTCACCTTTGGAGAAGGTGATATAAGCATCTAAATTTTTCATTGATATAAAACACTAAACATTTTTAAAACCCTTCTGAAATATAATTATAAAAAGTAAAATATTCTTAATTCTTCTGGTCTTTCCTCTCAGTTGATTTTTGAGACGACTGAGTTGGCTTTGGGCCTCATCCGGTGGCAGGCCCGTTTTGTGTTCTGTGGCGAAGGCAGGCGTGAGTCGTCACAGGCGTGGCCAGCTGGGTGGCCCACCCTTCCTGGATCGATCACATCTCATTCTAGTACTACAATCGGTCTCCAGTACCTGGGAGGTTCTTCAACTTCTTCTATTGGAGGAATCTAAACAATGAACCTGGTGTGTGTTTAAGCAGGGGCGGGAGAGGGGTATGATCCACTTATGAGAGAGTAGCAGAGCCTAAGTATCAGTTTCCCTGAATCCCACGTCACTAAAAGAGAGTCTGGGAACAGAATGTGTTTACAGGAAACTATCTCCGTGACTGTTAAGTCCACTGCCTCGTAATCACATTAGTGGTCAGTGTGGACAGGCCGTGTTAACTTAATGAGATGATGGTTAACTTTGCCAAGACGCCCAGCGCTTATCACTCGGGATATCGAGGCACCTGGAGACTGAATGCAGGCGTCTCCATATCCTGTGTGTGAGCACAAATGAGGAGTTTGGGAAGGTCGTGAGAGGCCCTCCACCATGCCGCAGTGCTTGCTGCAGTGAGGTGACCGCCTGTCACAGCTTCCCTGGTGCTAATTTTCTGTCACTGTGGAGGCCCAGATCAACCCCCCACCCACCCACCCTGTGCCCTCCTGGTCATCCTGTGGCAGGCCTGGGGTCCAGAGATAGCCACTCTATCCTCAGTCTTCAGGTCTAACCACTGAGGTTCCAAGCTGTGCGGAGCAAGTAAGCCAGCCCCGCCTTGGCCTGTGCGGATACCTGACCGGCAGAATATGGTGGTTGGTTTATGCCACTAAGTTGAGCCCTTTATTTTGAAGGCATAAAAAGAGGTTATACAAAAGTAGTTGCACAGGGCCAGCTGGTGGTGGTGTGGTTAAGGTGGCTGGAAACCACATGGCTGACTGCGTGGTTCAAATCCAGGCCCCAGTGGCTTGAGAAACACACAGGCATGTGCGGGTGCATGAGCACAATCTCGAAAGGAGAAATGGAAGAGAGGGGATTGTGGCATGACTGTCCCGCATGGCGGAAGGGGGTGCTTTCTCACGTTTCCTCTCTTTCCTGGCCATCTCTCTCCAGCAAGTGCATGTGTGCTCTAGCTGCATGTATGTGTGTATAAATACACACACACACTTACCCACATACATACATACATATACACATATACCTATATCTGTACAGCACGAAGTAGAAGCTGCAGGGTTTATGAAATCACGCATATTGTCTAGTCATCTCTGGTTTACAGCTGTTGACTCAGCATGATGAACAGTGCTTGGCTGGCCTTCTTCCCCTGCTTCCATTGCCCCAACAGAACTTAAACAATGGCTTCTTTCAGGGCCCAGCGTCAGCAAGGCTCTGTGCTCTACTCCCTGCATCAGTGCCTCCTTTCCAGGCGCACGGGCCTCTTCTTGCCTGGGGCAGGGCAGAACACGCCTTTGGGGGCTGCTGTTGCCATTTTGGAGAAGGACCACAGTCCTGAGTCACTGGGCCTTTGCCCAGTGTTTCATATTTACGGGTGCTCTCTGCTGACCGGAAAATAGAGCCGGGCTCCTCGTTTTCCTAACCTGACTCCTCAGGAGACATCGGCCAGCCCGTCTCTACCACCCATGGTGGCCAGCATCGCATCTCTACAGCGTCGGGGTCTCCCTTTTCTCCATCCCGCCTCTTCTAGTGGGGCTTGTTGAAAAGGTTAGACCTTCGCGCTTTATCCTTCATCCTCTTACTCTGGCTCCGTTTTCCATCGCTTTGTCTCTCC